AGTTGCTACGGTCATCCAATAACTATGTGCTAATACCATGCGCTGCGTAAAAGTAAATGGCGTTTTGTCGAGACCTGGGCACTAATCTTCACCAAGGCTGCGTCCTGTCTCATTTTCTGTTTGTGTTGTGCATAGATAGGATAGTCAGATGCAGCCAGGATAAAAATGTATCATAGCACGAGATTCTGAAATGGGAGCATGTCGTTTGCATCGTCTGAAACTGATCTTCAGCTCCAAGGCGCTCTGGAAAGGTTCGTAGCCGAGTGCGACGTGGCCTGAATGCGTACAAACATGTCTAAAGCTAAAAGCCTTTTCTCGCTGCGCTTTGCAGATAAACAGAAGAGCAGTGGAGCAGGTAGAGAAGTTCACATGCCTCGAGGTCTTGTCCTCTGGTGATGGAACATGGCAGGAAGTGATCGACGATCAAATCTGGATAGCCACCGACGTTCTCTATCCCGAACTGTTGTGACATAGCCTCAGCTGATTTTGAAGAGGAAGCTTTTTGTACTTCAGTGTTCATCTTCATACTCATCTATGGTCATGAGTCGTGAACCATTATAGAAAAACTCTCTCCGGGTTACCAGCGGTTAAGGCGTGTTTTCTACAATGAATCACTGGGTTTACGCGTCTCGACATGGTCCGATTGCAGATATCATGGCTGCGATATTTTGGGCACGTCATATGAACGCTTCCAATAAGGAAGACAAAACAGCCACTGCTTTCGCATTCGACCTGTCACATATCCCTGGTACGGCCAAAAATAACCTGGGGCAGGTGGTTCAGCGGACACGGCTTCAAATTAGAATTATATTTTGCGAAACAGTCTCTGATGCAGGATTGGGAACGTTGGGTATTCTTGTAGCGCTGCTAACTCCGTAAAATGAAAAGATGCGGTGCCTGTGAAACTGACTGGCATACTGACATGGAGCTAATCTGTAAAAAAATATGGAGGTCAGATCGACTTTTACGGATTTTATATATCTAGCAATAGTTCAGCTTGATTAGCACTTTGTTTCTGCTCAGAATATCGCTGCTCCACTAAAATTGAATCATCGATAGAAAGCCTGTGCGATGCGAGGTTTGCGTTTCTTTCACCCTCGGGCTTTTTTAAATAACGCCGATATGACGACTGCGTAGCATCGCCAACTCCGGCAGCCGTATGGCGTTCAGTATGCTAACCGTGTAGGCAGATTTTGGAGTACTGTAGTGCAAATCACATGTCTTCAACGCCAAGGAGGCTTGAAAGTGTGAATGTGACATGGCGAAATTGCGGCAGACACATCCTACCCGGCTCTGACGTGCGATGACTGGATCCACATGGCGTTCGTATGACTCAGCCGCAGGTATTTACCCCTGACACCCGCATGCGCCGCTATGGCATTTCATTGTCTCGGTGCTCCTGTAATATTCGTACATTGGAGTGCAGTCTAGCTGCTTAGCTATGAAGATGTCTACACTTGATAAGGCAAGCTCCAATGAACCGCTTTCTGATCTGCAGAAAATTTCACGCGTATGTAATCGGAATTCGCGTCAGACATGACCCATGCATTGGGTCTGATCACCCTATGATCGTAGTTGAGTTTCGATAAAAATTATCGCATCAACTTTGCTCAGTGAAGGCATATAAGGTTTTAGTTTTCAATGCGGGTAAGCTAACATATGAGAAGGTGCGTATGACCTAGCCAAAGGTGGTTGAGGGTTGCTGTAATCATCTTCAGACTGCCCAATCTGGAAGTAGCAACGCCGAAGAAGGTTACAAAGACGTTAAAGAACGTGATTCCTACATTGAAAAATTATGGGTGCAGTAGAAGGAAACAATTACCCAGTGTTATAAAGAACACGGCAGCCATTAAGGAATACGAGTTAGGCTAAAAATGCTTGCGAAACTGTGCTACATCTTCGATGGACGCATATCGCTGTATCGTTAGCGCTGTAACAGGACTTGTGGACGGTACTTATAACTTTTATTAAAGGGTAAATCAGGAAGATCTATAGGTAGCTAGAACTTGTGACTGTCGAACAGTATTACGAGGAATAAGACAATTGTCAGATAATCGTGAAGACTGTGCTGCCTGTCCACGATTCGCGCTCAGTCATTACCACGTCAGTAGAAACGTCTCGAAAGATGAAGTGAGTATATTCTGCAGCTCATCAACAGCTGTTTTCCAGATTTACTCTTTCCAGTTTCTGATCTTCTGCCAGCGCTAGCGGTAAATGATGGTGGCCCACCGACGAAACTATAGATTCAGAATTTTAGTCAGTGTTTCTCGTGGTCACGATTGCTGTGTCGTCAATCGAATTTCTCAACAATTGATCATAAGTGGTGTAACAGGCAGGAATGTCTAAAATCTTCATTTCGTGAAATATGCACGTGAAAATTTATCTGGATAATGGAAGTGTTGGGTCACTTTCTATAATTAAATGATAACGGGCAGCTGATTGTTTGTCTCTCGTAGTATTACGCTGTTGTCAGCTGCCCGGAAATTTTTTTCTTTGGTCATCATCAAAAAGCTCAGACAGACAGCTGATGAAAGACTTTATTCAAACCAGACAGGCGTCTTTACCGGGTGTACAGGCCTGACCAGATTTCGCTCTTCATTCAATCACTGAGCGATGGCGACGATGACAGTGATTTTGCTCTACCAGTATTCCTGTTAAGCCGCAATTGGTCTTGCTAGGACGTGAAAAATCATCACATGCTATAGGGTACCTACGCATGTCATTTCTGTGTGAAGCAGATGCATGAAGGAATCTTGTGTGCTGTTAAAGTCGAAGGAGGTTTATCACGGTTGTTTCATATTAGCTGTAGAGTTCGCCACCGATACATATTTTCACTTCATGTTCAACCATGTTCCTGACTTTCTCTTTCGAAACAGTGCTGCTCCTGGCTAGAAACGAAGATCTCATTCTAGAATGAGGGGTAGAGGAGTGCTGATCAAGATACTCGGCCATATGACTTGCTGATCTTGAGTAGGTCAATGGTACTGTCCTGTTAAACTGTACGAGAAGCATGTTTTACCACCTGGCCGCTTCTGCACCGCGGCGAAAGCTGGGTTTCTTCCTTTGCGGTTAGAAATCAAAAGATACTACCTCTCTAGCAGGCACAACAGATTCAAAGGTGTCACGGACGATAAAATTCCCAGGTTGCTCCATTGTCTCCAGTAATGGTACCAGGTAATTAGAACTGAATGTTAAGACTGGCTTTTCTTCCTGTGCTTTCTGTATCCTTTAATATATTTGGGTTCGAAAAAGAATATCTCTTTTCACAAAAATCTGTAGATACTTTGTTTCGATAATCGTTTTGTTTCTTTACCACGTGTAAATTTTTGTTTTAGCGAAAGGTCAAAAACGACGGTTCATCTGTGCACAACAGCTTTGGCTTCATCGCACAGTGCAGGTTAGATGATAAGACTAAATAAGAAATAACGTTAACTCTCTTCCGGCCACCGGTGTCCTCAGGAGATGTAGGCATTAAGAAAATATTTTGCAATGTTAGACAAATTGGTAGAACAGAAACTCTTTTCTTTAGCCGACTAGGTTTTCATTTTGAAGGCGAAAAACGGCAGACGGCGCGAAACCAGCATGCAACAGGCATCATCAAAATTAAGACATCCTTCTTCAGAGGAGAAAACTTTCCTTTTACGACGCAGTAACCGACGTTTGACAGAAAAGCTGACAGAACAGCGTACGTCACAAACCAAAGACGTATTCTGCACTACAGACGTTTCATGATAATAATCTTAGCGAAACTGAAGCATCGTAAAACTGGTCTGAAACACTTACAACAGTAACGTCTATGATACATTCTGAAAGCTATGTACTACAGTCGGTTACCAGCGAACGGCTGCTGATTATTAGCGGTGTGAAAAGATGTCAGAATTTTTCGTGGACCAACTCCTGGTTTGGTTTGACGAAGCAGTTCGAAATGAGTGGAACTTTCATAAAAGTTTTTTTTTCACCTGGACCGTCCATCAGCGAATTTGTTAGCGGCAGGTAGGAACCTATTTGCCTGCATGAGAAATATCACCTTTGGTCGTTTGTTACCTGATCAGGCGACACCTGACATGAATCCGGGGCATCCTTTCGATCTGTGCAAACTCATCAACCTGGCAAATTGTACAGTTCATTCTTTGTGAGGTTCTAATTAAGGTGATGTCAAATAGTCTGAAACGCAGAATTATTAAATTCTTGTGCTTGATATCACGCGGCGTTGCAACGCCTTACCCAGCGCTTTACCTCACAAGTTTTCGAATTTTTTGCTTAGGTTTTTGGGATCAGCCGATTGTTGTTTTGTTACTTGGTACCGTGGACGTTTTGAAACCAGTTTTTCAACCCATACCTATGTTAATCAACTATGGCTTGTCTAAATAGGGGAGGCAGGGGATGTCAGTTCGTTGAATATTTGAATGACAGTTGAGGATCGCTTCCCATTCCATGGTTCAAGGCAACCATTAAACGTTTACCCTGATGATGATGCTGATGTGTAGCATTGCGAAGCTTCTGGAAATTAATAATTTCGTATCGACATGATTTGAACCGTGAATCGGGAAGCGAAGACCATTGTGCTGATTTATTTTTCATCTATTCCTGTTGACCTGCAATGTGACGTTGTGTTTCGTGTAGTGATCTGGTCATGGATCATGATGAGGTTTCTTGTTCAAAGCTGTTAGAGCGAACATTAACTCAGTTTAGTTCGTAGCACACTGTCAATAATTTCATTGCTGTCAACGTAGTTGTTTTTTTTAACTCTTGGCATTTTATCCGTCTTTAACGACTGAACGTTATGTAAAGCTTACTACCAGCTTTGCTTACAAATGCCAGCCAGAATATGATATGCGGTTAATCCATTGCTGACTCTTTAGGTGGTCGTGAGCACGTCGATGTGAATGGAATTCATTATCGCTCAGACCCGTTGCAAGGCAAGGCAGAATCTGGATATGACTCAGACTACGGTCGGAGGTACCTAATCGGTCGCGTTCCTCAAGAAGACCAAATATTGTACCATACGGAAAGATATCACACGAGCAGTTTCGAATACCAGCTTTCGGTACCTGACGACGGAGACTACGTATTGGTGCTGAAATTCAGCGAGGTGTACTTTGACGCTCCAAACAAGAAGGTATGGTTTTCGTCGTGTTGTTGCTGTGTACCCGGTCGGCGTACAGGTGTTCAGCGTGGCGGTCAACGATCATGTTGTCATCAACGATTTGGACATACACTCACGAGTCGGCCGTGCAGTCGCCTATGACGAACACATCCCATTCAGAATCGAAGGCAGTACCATACGAATCCTGGACGAGGTTTCCGACTACGACGGCGTGCTTACCGTGCGCTTCATAAAGGTTGTTGTGTTGTTTCGTTCCTCATTGTTACGTTGCGGTGGCGTTTCATATTGCTGGCGTGTTTCCTGTCAGCGCGTTTTATTTTTTGTCACTCGCCTACAAAAACAATGAAAAGTTTGTAGCCAATTGGGATATATATTTCCCTTACACTTTCATGATGAGGCTATTTTTGGCGTCCGCCTTCTTTTCATTAGGTTGATGCTGGGGCGCTGATCTGATCTCGATTTCCATTGTATCAGCCTGGAGTACTTTATTTTAAAGGCAGAGTCGACAACAGCTCTGTGACAAGCATGGCGCGTAGTCTCATTTTCTTTCCACAATGCCATGGTAGCTCAGAGTGTAAGAGGTCGGTTTCGAACTCCGCTGGTATTGAGTTCGAATTACACGGTGGACTAAGTTTGTTCTTTCCACGAGTTCTCCTGAGAAAGATATTTACTACACTTTGCTACAGACTGACGTTATTCGGTCGGTAGTGGTTCTGACTGAGAACCAATAGGTCCTGGATTCTGGCTCCGGTCGGAATCAATCGCCTTTCTTCCTTCTGAGTTTGATAAATGAGTGCCACTTTGATGAGTAGGAAGGAAATAGAAGAATAAAGAATATGTTTATCACGTAGCTGCTGTGGATCTCTCCTTTAGAACGAGACACTCCAGGCTGATGACAGAAATGGAAATTTGCCTCCTCACCATTAACCTCATGTCATTAAAGGGGATAGAATTGGCTCCACCATGTAAATGTAAGGAAGACCGACATTCCAACGGTTATAAACTTTCCTTCCTACTCCTTCCC